AGTAGAGACGGGGTTTCACCATGTTGACCAGGATGGTCTCGATCTCTTGACCTCGTGATCCACCCGCCTCGGCCTCCCAAAGTGCTGGGATTACAGGCTTGAGCCACTGCGCCAGGCGGGACATTTCTTTATTTAGCAAGAGAAGCATAACATTTTTTTGTTCTTATAATGTGGATAGTGAATTTTATTAATACTGATTAATATTTCCTTCCAAATTTGAAGGAAATAACTGATATCAACATAAACATTTTTCTCTTTTCTTACAAAGCATCCATAGAGGAAGGTTATGAAAATCTCTGCCAGATGATTTTAGAACAATATTTTAAAAATAAAAAAAGATTCAATGTCTACTTTCCAGAATACAATAAACACTGAAAAAGTTGGAATTTTATATATATATATTATATATATAATTATATATTATATATAATATAAAATTATATATATATATATATTGTAATATAGGTAGACATATTAAGTATCTATCTTGTATTTGCAACATTTTTATAATTTAATCACTTTGGTTACCAACATAAGACTATGTATATATTTTTAAACACAGAATTATTCATCTTTAGAGCTATAATATACAACATATAATGCTGAGTCTCATTTCATTATAATAAATGAAAAATAGCTACCGAGTAATAAATTTAAGTCCACAAAAATAGAAGGATCCAAGTTTACCTTTAGCTGACATTTATGGTTCTTTTCTAGCATGTTACAGACTAATAATTCATATTTAAAGACATACATGTGCTTTACTCAAGATGCTAAGTGATGACAGGTTGGAAAAAAGAACAGGTAACTCAAAGATTTAAAAATAGATTTAAAAACATAGCTGTGGTAAAATATACAATTAAAAATAGATTTTTAACGAAAAGGAGATAGGACAATTATTTACCTATTGCCTCTCAAACCCAAGCTCACCCTCTACACTGGGCTCTTGGATACCAGGTTGGAAGTCTAGAAACTGCAATTCCCAGACTCTCTTGTTACTGGCTTTGGTCAGGTTTTTCCAATAGCAGGCACTGGTGGGAGACCATAAGGTGGGAAGAAATGAGAAGGAATTCTTTGTTTCTGGTTCCTGCAAGGATCTTTGCAGCAGCACCACCACCAGATACAGCTGCTGGACTCATGATTTTCAGTACTCCTAACATCAAATCTGGAGCTCTACTTCAGTCATCTGAGCACCAACTCTATGAGGCTTCTTGATAGCGTCATGACCATGGCTTCTGACTCCCACATCTGATATCCAAGCACCTCCTGGTTCTCCTGCACTGAGCTCTAGCCTCTCCCCTTTCCTAGCCCCAAACTCCAGTTATAACAGTTTCTTCCTGCAGTTACTAACTGCTGAGGCACTGGAGCACAGCCTTTTTGCTCTTTCAGTCTTCCAGCCTGCATGTGAAACCAATTCCCTGTATTAAATCCCTCTTGATATCTAGTTTGGTTTCTCTTTCCTGACTAGACTCTGGCTATACCATAGAATTTCTATTACAATAATTTATCTTTAGTCTAAGACACAGCATTTTCTCCTATTACCTTCAACACTTGGTTGTTTAAGTGCTGAGATTGGCAAAGTCGTTGGTGAAGGTATACTGGATGTTTGGTTTTCCTGAGGAGGCTGGGCAGTAGCACATTCATCAGAATGGTTAGATTTAAGATTAGAACCAGTTGGACTCATCATCCTTTCAAATGCCTGAGCTATAAAGGGGAAAACAATAGTGTTAAATTCTCAGATGTTTTTGTAATTTACTTCCAAGCAAATTACAATCTCTATTTTTTAAGTTGTAAGGAAAAAGAAAGAAATGGCTAATCAAGAAAAAGTAGTAGCACTTGGCAAAGATACTGTCTGAGTAGCTAGCACAGGCTCTTTATTTTTTTTTAATTGTACTTTAGGTTCTGGGGTACATACGCAGATCATGCAAGATTGTTGCATAGGTACACACATGGCAATGTGGTTTGCTGCCTCCATCCCCCGTCACCTACATCTGGCATTTCTCCCCATGTTATCCCTCCGCGACCTCCCCAACCGCCTCCCCACTGTCCCTCCCTTGTCCCCACCAAGAGACCCCAGTGTATGATGCTCCCCTCCCAGTGTCCATGTGTGGCAGCATGCCACTTTGATAAGCTACTGATAAGTTATTTCAATATTATATCTGGTGTATGTTTGATATCCACAGAGAATAACCCTTATTTAACATGACTGTCTCTGTTTTTGCCCTTATACCCCTAGAGTCTATTTCCAACATAGTTTAGAGAGATTCTTTTAGACATAAATCATATCTCATCATTCCTCTGCTTAAAATCCTTTAATGGCTAAAGTGAAAATTTCAGTTGTTAACAATGGCTCACAAGATCCAACATAATTAGCATCCCTACCTCCTCCACTTTCCCAGGTACCTGTTTGACCTCCTCTCTCACTACAACCCCGCTCATTCACTATGATCCAGCCACCCAGATCTCCTCACTCAAGTAAGTACTCCTCCAGATTAGAGTCTTTGCTCTTATTATTCCCTTGGCCTACAATGTTCTTTTCATAGGTACTTACACAGCTTTATTTTCTCACTTCCTTCAAGACTCTGCTCGTGTCATATTACCATAAAGCCTTATAAAAAAACTGCCTAAGGTCAGGCACAGTGGTTCACGCTTATAATCCCAACACTTTGAGAGGCCAAATCAGGTGAATCGCTTGAGCTCAGGAGTTTGAGACTAGCCTAGGCAACATGGTAAAACCCCACTCTCTACCAAAAATACAAAAAGTTAGCCAGGTGTGGTGGTGTGTGCCTGTGGTCCCAACTACTTGGGAGGCTGAGATGCTCCCATCTCCTAGATGCTCTCAGCTCCTAGGCTGCTTGAGCCTAGGAGGTTGCAGTGAGCTGAGATCGCACCACTACACTCCAACTGCAGTGACAGGGTGAGACTCCAACTAAAAAAAAAAAAATTCCTTTTGCCATGAATCTATAAACTATCACTCTACACTTTTTAAATTTTTTAATTTAGGGCATTATCACCATCTGATATATTTTTGCTTACTATCCATCTCTACATACATTCATAAATTTCATGAGAATATAGCTTCTATTTTGCTCTCAGCTTCAACTTCAGAATGCAGAATAGTGCCTGGATACTGCTGAATGAGCCTTCATCCAAAAAAACAAGGAACAACGCGATAGCTCTCCCTTCATCATTTCTCCAAACTGATCTGCTATAAATGTTGCCATTGCTAAAATATTCCTCAAGTGCCACTGAATGATGGCACTTATAAAAAGGCTTCCATTAACCAAGTGAAATCCAAACACCTTACTCTAGATTTCAAAGTAATTTCTAACTTGCCCCAAATCTACTTATTGACATTCACATGTGTGCTTCCTTGAAACTTATGTAATCTCAGGACAGCTTTCTCATTATTCACAATCTCTCTATTCAAATTATTTTTTTCCTCTAATCCTTCATGGAATGTGTCTCATAACCTATGAACCATCTTTCTCTTCTTATTTGATACCATTAATTTAAATGATCACTTCTATTATTTTCTACCCTAATGTTAATATTAACTTTTATTTATGCTTTCTTGTGGCATATAAATTAATGATAAATAGCGCTGTAGATGAAACTATATGCTATTAAGATATCAAAAAGGAATAAATTTAAACATAACTAAATAAGCTCAACCCACAGTATTTTCTTTGGAAAACCAAAGCTTGATCTCAGTATTCCACTGAATGTCTTTAATAACCATATCTTCTCCCCTCCTGGACCCTTAGTCAAAATATGCCTGAATGCTCACCCAAAAATCTGAGCTGTCAACATAAATAACATTTCAAATCTTCATGGGTGTTTAATTTCTTTTTAAGTGGGGGAGATAATTATGTGGGAGCTTGCTCTAAAATTTCCGAATTCTAGCAGATTTCCTTGGCTAACAACACCAGCAGTCATCTTCTAGGCTACTGAAACAGTGTAAGAAAAAACAAAACAACTATAAGCACTTAAACTAACCTCTTCATAAACAATGGTGGTAACATGGAAATATAAAAAGATTTACACTTTGTTATCTTCCAGAGCAGAGGTCAACATCAGGGAGAAGAGCAGCTTACCTCAGGCTAACAGACTCACATCAGAGATTTTTGGAGAATTGCTGAAAAAATTTATCTTCATTCAAAAGAGAAAAACAAGTTATTATCGGGTATTCATTCCCCTGGCTAACAGGACGCAGTGCCTGAGCTAGTGCATAGGTCTGGTCAAAGAAGGCCCAAGTAATATTTGCTGGGAATTAAACTGTCAACAAATCTTTAAAAATGCCAAGTGGTACTCAAAAGAACAAACATGGATTTGGGGAAAAAAACACAACACATACCCTGTGAGAACTCAAAGACCACCAAGACTATTGCTAATAATTGTAGCTAGAGAGCCAAAGAAATAATGGGAAGTGTACATACGCAAAATTTTGAAGTTGAGAAAGGAAAAAAATATATGAGACAGAAATGTGCAAATAGTGTGGCAGTTCTATGAATTTATAAAATCATAAATATTTCCACCTTATCTTATACTTCCATTTTAGGTTGCTATTTTCTAAAGGGTACGAACTAGTTAGTACCTTGCCCTGTGCTATTAATAAATAATATTCAGTACTACTTGATAGGTATCTACAAGTGTTTATTTAGATTAAGATGATGAACATGACAATGATAATGACAAAAACAAATGGGCAGATGAAATGCAGCATTTAGGGACTTGGTACCTGTTAAAAGTTAATGAACTGCCACTCCAGAAATTGAATGTTTCCTTTCCAGATTGGTAGTATTAATTGTGAGAGTGGAACAAAAAGAAGAGAAACCAAGCCTTGGGATGTCCCACCTAAGCCAGATAATTCAACACTAGGTCCCTGCCTTAAGAAAATAAAGAAGTTTATCTTTGTCATCACAATCCAATTAATTTTAAGATATATTCAATTACTGGAAGAAAATATGTCAAGTTAATACTCACCTTTACTAATAGTTTCATAGCAGACTACACATACTCTTGCTTCCTTTTCTAGATATTGCAGTTTACACTTCCTATTACAACAGACACCACAAAATACCTATAAAGAATAAAATGTTAAATTTGTTTTTGTTTCAAGAATGTTTACAATTACTAGAGGCGGTGTGGGGAGGTTCTAAACCTAATTAACCAAAACTCATTTTCCGTGTTATATAAATCATTTTCCTAATCACCCTAATCATAGGTGGAGTTCTTAAATGATTTTTTTTGTAACTTAAATGAGATTTCTGCAATTTGATACCATATTTCTGATAAGAAGAATTCCTTAAATCAATTCTGTTCACTAGAAAGGGAACAAAAACTATCTTTAATAAATAAGCTTATAATATTAAAAAGTTCTCTGTAGTTCTTCATTTAAAACTTTTTAAAGTAAAATATTATTTTGCTAAAAAAATAGGACTGATCTGAAACCAATGTATTACTGAAAAATCTGAATAAAAAATGTTATAGGATTTCTAACGGTAATCCTTACAGTTTATAGACAATCTTTTTTATCTTGACTGTTATCAGACAGTCAGATCTCAAGGTCAGCTTCAATATTCTGAACGCTGTGCAAGTCAAATTGCTCTGGAGTGATCACAACACTAGCTGTAGACTGGTCTTGAAATCAAATATTTGAGGACAAAGGGGAATCTGACCAAATCTGGAAGATTTAATGTGTCAATATTAGAGAAATAAGAACAAATATTCTTAAATTTCACAAAAATTAGTAATTGTTTCTCGTTTCCCAGCATGTAATTAATACCCTTGATAACGTAACATTTATTCAACGATCAAGCAATCTACAAAATGACACTGCTTTACATATTTTCCTGACTGGTAGGTGAAAACCACTAATTTTAAACTAACTCAATCTTGTAATTATCTGTTAATCAGCCTTTTCTATCACATTATATTTGTTTAAAATGTCTCAAAAGAACAAAAGACTTAAAGATTTTTATAACTTACTTTCCCACATGCTCGGCAATGGTGTCGCCGTTTTGTAAAAGTAAATTTGACTTGGCAGTTCATACAGTTTGGAGCTTCTGAATCAGGAACCCAAGTAGGCTGTTTCTGGCCCAAAACCAAGCCTTCTTTGCAAGTGTTTTCAGGTAGAGAATCTTCATTTGCAGTTACAAAACTAGATCCACCTTCAGAATTACTTTCTATATCGATGTAATTAGAGTTGAAGCTAACCTGAGGCTCAGCTGTAGAATCTATAGTACAAGCGACTGGAACAATGGTATCTGCCATGCTGGGTTCACTTTCTATTGTATTTGGAACATCTGGCTTATTCAGGTCCTGTGAACTCCTTGTTCTTGATGGAAGGCTAAACAACTGCTTAGGTCTGGCCCCTCCAACAGATTGACTATTAATATCAGAGACTGATAATTCATTTGTAATCTCAGACTTACTGGTAGGTAACCCTTGTTCAATTAGAATTGTACTTTTTTCTCCTAAAGAAAGGCCATTTTCTATTGTATCTTGTTTATCAACTGTTTCACAAATTATATTAATATCGTGACCTTCCCCAATAGCTCCTCCTTCTGCATTGAAATATATATTATTGGTATTTCCGTTATCTAAGCCTTTCATATCTATCTGATTCATTTGCGACTTAGAGTCATTTACATTTTCTTTGAAAGACTTTATGTTAGTAGTCTGAAGATACTGTTCTGTCAGAAAGGCATCAAGTTCAGCATCACTAATGAGTGTGCCACTTTTTGCACCTTCATCAATATTAAAGTAATCTAAGTCTTGCCCGTCCATAACATTGCTTGAAAAAGTATTAATAAAACCTTCACGACAATCAGAAGACTCTGGAACATTAGTGCCAGAAAGTACTTCTTGAGTTTCTACAGCTGTAGAATTGGTGTCACCACCATCCAAAGACTCAACTCTGATTACTGTCTGGTCAGGATCTACCTTTCTGTTTTCCATCCCTTCAATGAATGGCTGAAGAAGTATGTTTTTACACTTTTCCTGTTTCAAAAGATCAGTCTCCTCGAATGGTTCCCCATCTAGAGCAACACTCTTCTGTATTTCTTCATGTATAGTCACTGCATCTTGTATATTATCTTTATGTTCACGCTGAGGTAAAAAATCACCCTGTGCTTTACTTTCAATTAGTGATCCACACATAGTCCCAGATACCGAAAGACAGGACAATGAGGACTGTACATCTTCACTTGAAACATGTAAAGCTGAAGAGGAATCTTGGATTATTTCATTATCTGTAAGGTCTAAATTTCTTGAGTCTTCTTGTGCAGATTGTTTTATAAATGTAACAGTCTTATCTTCCTGAAAGGAAAAGTCAGGTAATTTGAAATTTTCAACTCTTGAATTTAAATCACTTAAGCACAAATCTTCAGTTTTTGGAGGGCTGCAGGACAAAACATTTGTCTTGCCCTCTTCTTTTAAACATTCTGCAGCATTTATGACTTCCACATCTACTTCCTCCTTTACTAAGCCATCATCTTTCAGTAATTCACATGGTTGGCTTTTCTGTTGTAGTTTGTCTTCGGCATCAAACATTTTGGAACTTTGTTGAGTCAAAGCAGATGACGTGTTAAAATCAACAATTGGTTCTAAGTGATTAGAGATCTTTTTATCTTCTAAATCTTCTGTTCCACTGTAATTACAGGAATCTGAAAGTGTATCTACTTTTGTACCCAATTCTTTGATTCCTCTGATTTCTCTATTTTGTAATTCAGAACTGATGTCATTCTGTTGCTCTCTGACAGTATCACTCCCATGGTCTGTTGAGGAAACACAGGGAGTATCTGACACTGATGATAAATCCAATCCAATCAAGGAATCTGCATTAGACTTAAAATCATCTGGCAGTAATTTTTTAATATCTTCTTCACTATTAGTGGCATGAACTAAGTTACTCATGTCACTTATCAGATCACAGATAGGTTTACTACATCGTCCCATACATAAAGGCTGGATTTCATCTGAAGTACCACCATCCACAGAAGAAAGAAGATCAAGTCCTGTTACATTTTTTTCATTTTGTATAGTAGTAGGTCCCGTGAGTGTTTTTTCATTCAGGGAACTCTCACTTGTTTCATAGCTTATGTCTGATGAGGCACAACTATTAATGCATTGTTGGTCTTTTGGGAGCAATGAAGTTAGCTGTGAGGAAGCCAACTCTGAAGAAACTGAGCAGTGGTTAGAATCATACGCATTTTGTACATCTTGAAGATAATCTTGTTCATCTAAAATAGAGAAACAGTGTTATTCGGGAGACTCAAATCAAATAAAAACTATTAAACATATGTTTCCCAAGACTTCTAAATTAAACTTTTTAAAAAGACCATAGATTATCCTTTTGCAAAAGGGAAATAACCTCCAAAACTATTTTTTTATTTCCTTTAGAGCATTTATTTTTATCTGAAATTACCTTGATTATGATTATTGGCTGTTTCAATCAACTACAAAATAAGTGTCACAAGTGCAGGAACCTTGTCTCTTTTTTTCTGACTTAGAATACTTAGTCAGAAAAAAAGAGTTCTACATACATTGGTATTTGGAACTCTATTCCCATTGCTTAGAATACTTCCTGAAACTTAAGTGTTCAAGAAATGATTAAGTGACTGCATAAATGAATGTCCTTGGATCTTGTGCATAGTTGCTCTGGTAATTTGATCTCCTTGATCTTTCCTTTGTTTGGGAGGATTCCTCAAGTTGACTTTCTACTTGTTCATTTTTCTATCACCTGGATCCTACCATCATTCCCCTGTGGTGCTCTAATTGAGGTTGCCAATTGTAGTAGCATCACACACTATGTCCATGGTGATGGGCATGTGATTGTTTCAAGCTGGGCCACTTAAAGGCATTCTCCTCATACTCCAAATTTGACAGAAGGAAGAAGGAGATTTCTCAGGTGGCAGTTATGAATCTGGAGCTGTTAGTGGCCATAGCCTCATCCAGATAAAAGAAGCCGATAATTCCGCATGGCTGTAGAGGCCTCAGGAAACTTAAAATCATAGCAGAAGGCAAAGCAGAAGCAAGCACCTTCTTTACAAGGCAGCAGGAGAGAGATCAAAGCTATTTTTATTTGACTTTAAAGTACTTTCTGGTTTTTACTTTTGAATGTAGATGTCATAAAGTGATAAAAAATTCCACTCAAAATAATTTAGTTATGGCTGGGCATGGTGGCTTACAACTGTAATCCCAGCACTTTGGGAACCCATAGCAGGAGGATAACTTGAGACCAGGAGTTCAAGACCAGCCTGAGCAACACAGTGAGACCACATTTGTAAAAAATATACACATTTTTAAATTAGCCCGGCACGGTGACACACACTTGTGGTCCCAGCTACTCAGAAGGCTGAGGTGAGAGGATCGCCTGAGTGCAGGAATTCAAGGCTGCAGTGAGCTATGACTGCACCACTACACTCCAGCCAGGGTGACAGAGCAAGACCCCGTCTCTTAAAAAAAAAAAAAAAAAAAAAAAGAAAGAAACTTAGTGGCACTATAAAAACCAAACTAAAGTGGCCTGTAATCCCAGCACTTCGGAAGGTCAAGGTGGGCAAATCACCTGAGGTCAGGAGTTCAAGACCAGCATGACCAACACGGAGAAACCCAATCTCTACTAAAAATACGAAATTAGCCAGGCACGGTGGCACATGCCTGTAATCCCAGCTATTCTGGAGGCTGAGGCAGGAGAATCACTTGAACCTGGGAGGCGGAGGTTGTGGTGAGCCAAGATCGCGCCATTGCACTCCAGCCTGGCAACAAGAGTGAAACTCCAAGAAAGAGAAAGAGAGAGAGAGAGAGAGAGAGAGAGAGAGAGAGAAAAAATACCATCTCTCATATTAATGAAATACCAATTTATGTAGAACTCTCAAGTAGCTTTTAGCTTGCTCATATGTTGGTTTTAAAGGCTTTTCTAGGGCCAAGCAGGTGGCTCATGCCTATAATCCCAACACTTTGGGAGGCTGAGGCAGGAGGATCGCTTGAACTCAGGAATTCGAGACAGGCCTGGGCAACATAGGAAGATCCTATCTCTAAAAGTAATTGAAAAATTAGCCAGCATGGTGGCATGCATCTGTGGTCCCACTTGGAGGTTGAGGTGGGAGGACTGCTTGAGCCCAGGTGGTTGAGACTGTAGTGAGCTCTAATTGTGGCACTGTACTTCAGCCTGGGTGACAGAGTGAGACCTTGTCTCAAAAATAAAAAGAAAAGAAATGTGTTCCTTAGAGCTAATTTGAATCCAGAAAAAAAACCTTCTAGTTTCCTTACTTCTGTTTCTGGTTATGGATCCCATTCAGTCTAAGAATCAACTAACATCTTATTATGAAATAAATGAACTTTTAGCAGAAGATAACAATGTGTCCAAAATTGAAAGAAAATTTTACTAATATTACTCTATACCTGAGATAACTTAACTATAGATATTTAAAAATTCCATTAGTGGCAAAAATGGAAAATCAACAAACCTGGGTTCTGTTCAAAATCATCAAGGAGTTTGTCCAAGTCACTGACAGCTGCTTTAAAATAAGTGTCCATCCTACCTGTAGACTTATTCAGAATTTAATTCTTGTTTGCCTAAAAAATAAAAAGATAATATTTCATTTAACTCTGTAACATAAATATTATGCCATCTATTCCACGCCAGAAAACACAGTCAAGAAATTGACACAGAAATAAAATTTAAGAGTGCTACTTTAAGGAATCTACAATTTAGTTGGGGAAATTGCCCCTGTATATATAAAAATGACACAAAAACCAACTCTAACAACATATTTGCACATATAAGCTATTATAAATTTTAAAACATTTACCTAAATAAATCATGGGTCAAAGAAGGATTCATAATGGAAAGCTAAAGCTACTTATAAATACAACATTTCAAAATAATATAAACAACATACACATAAAAATATTGTACATGAAAAACTCTGGGATTCAGTAAAAGTGGTACTTCTCAAGATACTTAGAGTCTTAGATGCTTTTTTATTTTTTGAGATGGAGTCTCACTCTGTCACCCAGGCTGGAGTGTAGTGGTACAATCTCGGCTCACTACAACCTCCACCTCCCAGGTTCAAGCGATTCTCCTGCCTCAGCCTCGTGAGTAGCTGGGACTACAGGCACATGCCAACATGCCCAGCTAACTTTTGTATTTCTTTTTTTCAGAAGAGTAGGGGTTTCACCATTCTGGCCAGGCTGTCTCGATGACCTCAAGTTATCTGCTTATCTCAGCCTCCCAAAGTGCTGGGATTACAGGCATAAAACACTGCACCCAGCCACCTTAGACACTTATACTACAAAAGAAGAAGGACTGAAAACTAATAAACTAAGAGCAGAACTTAAAGAAATGGAAAGCATATAAGAGAGAGGCACAAGAAAGCTAAAAGTTAGTTTTATGAAAAGATGAAAAAAGTAGACGAATCTCTGGTCTGGAGTGGAAACTCTACCAAATAAGCCTGAGAAACCTCACAGGAATCTGTCAATAACTAATGGGATAATATCAAAAGTAAAAGCCAAGTTGAAGGGCACTGGCTTAAAGGGGACAAGTGAGCATCAAATTAATGAAGACTGCAAAGGCCTGAACACAAATCAAATAGATTTTTCTAAAAAAACAAAAGATCAAATGATACTAAAAACAAAAACAAAACATACCACTCATTGGAGGGTTAGCAGGGTACTAACCAATTACTCTGAAAATTGATCAACTAAGGGAAAAAAAATCAGGAATTTATCCTACCCAAGGACACGAACAGACATTTCTCAAAAGAAGATATTTATGTGGCCAACAAACATGAACAAAAGCTCAACATCACTAATCATTAAAGAAATGAAAATTAAAACCACAATGAGACACCATCTCAGGCCAGTCAGAATGGCGATCATTAAAAAGTCAAGAAACAACAGAAGCTGGCAAGGCTCTGGAGAAATAGGAACATTTTTACATGAAGACAGCGTAGCGATTCCTCAAAGATCTAAAACCAGAAAAACCATTTGTCACAGCAATCCCATTACTGGTATATGCCCAAAGGAATATAAATCATTCTACTATAAAGAAACATGCACGTATATGTTCATAGCAGCACTATTCACAATAGCAAAGACATGGAATCAACCCAAATGCCCATCAATGATAGACTGGATAAAGAATATGTGGCACATATAAAACCATGGAATACTATGCAGCCATAAAAAAGAACAAGATCATGTCCTTTGCAGAACATTAGAAGCCATTATCCTCAGCAAACTAATGCAAGAACAGAAAACCAAACACCACATGTTCTCACTTATAAGTGGGAGCTGAACAATGAAAACATGTGGACACAGGGAGAAGGAACCACACATACTGGGGCCTGATGCAGGAGGGGTGGTGGGTAAAGGGAGAGCATCAGGATAAATAGCTAATGATGCAGGGCTTAATATCTCGGTGATGGATTGATAGGTGCAGCAAATCATCATGGCACATGTTTACCTATGTAACTAACCTGCATGTCCTGCACGTGTATCCCAGAACTTTAAATTTAACTTAAAATACATACATACGTGTGTGTGTGTGTGTGTGTGTGTGTGTGTGTATCAATTTGGAGAACACTATCCTTAAAAATATTGAAATTTCCAATTCATGAGCATGGTATATGATGTGATGAAGCCTTCTCTGTTGTATTTCAATAAGCTTTGTCATTAAGTAAAAAAGAATTTATCTTTCCCTTTAATTACAAAATATGACAACAAAATAATTACTGATGTAAAGTTCTTTAGATAAGAATTCCAGTTAATAAATGCAGAAGGATATTAAAAATTTTTAATTTGTCTCCTCATAATCCCTAATACAATAAATAGACTAGGCAATGGCTATAAATGGATGTTTAAAAGGTTAGAGGAAAAGATTTATGAGCTTTAAAATGGTGGGATCGAGTCAACACATCTGAACCCAACAATCAATTTCACCATCAATAAAAGTGCAAGAACAGTGTCACCTAAAAAGTATTACTGCCTAAAAAAATTGAATCTGAATCTAGTCAAACTAACTGCATGTTTACAGGAAATTCAAGCATAAGGGACAAGTTAAGTAACATAAAAAGAAAGCAATCAACTAAGCTAAACTAGAAGGTGAAACACTGTACAGCAACATTCCTCAAATTACCTATAGTAAAAATTTTTCTTATACTTCCAATCCATTGCAAACTGTTACTTTTTAAAAAATACAATAAAACTGTACAAATTTGTATTAATAAATACAAACAAAAGAATATACTTTTTTTTTTTTTTTTTTTTGAGACGGAGTTTCGCTCGTTACCCAGGCTGGAGTGCAATGACACGATCTCGGCTCACCGCAACCTCCGCCTCCTGGGTTCAGGCAATTCTCCTGCCTCAGCCTCCTGAGTAG